ACTGGCAGTTCTGGAGCACGAGCAGGGCAGTCGTGTAGTAGCTGCAGCAGCACGTTAGAATTGCTTTAGTGACTCGCTTCCAGGGGAAAATGAACTGTTCTCCCCTAACAGTGCCAGTCCCAGCGTTCTGCTTTCCTGGTGTGGTGCTGGAGTTTTCCTTACACGAGCAGAGCAGGACGCTGGGGCTCAGCTGCTTTTTGAAGCCTGGAGTTTTGCCTGTAGCATGGAGTTTGGTTAGAACCACGAGAACCAGGTGGAGTGTTGTATTTGTATCCATATATAAACGAGAAATATAAAAGAAGAGGAAGATGTTGTAGGGTTTGTGTATTTGTGCTTCAAGTTGGTGTCTCTTGTAAGTGTTAAGCATGTGAAATTCACACAGAAGTTAATTACGTGGCCCTTTGTGTTTGCTCTTGGACCTGTGTCATAGAGTAGGAAAGCATTTAGCTTTACATACGTGGAACGTGCCCTCACTGATGATGCCGGGCCGCAACCCGAGAAGCACGATTAACCTGAGGTGCAGCAGCTTGGGATGCCAGTAGCCGGTTGGAGTGTATCAGGCTCAGAGATAAATCTGAAGTGGCCTTTAAAACCTTTCCTCTGCCAGATATGCATCAGCAGCCTCGCTGTCCCTGCCTGATGCATCCTCGAGGTCTCCCCAGAGCTTCCAGTGCAATGTGGGGAAGAGAGAAATAACCCTGCGCACACACTGATGTTGATCTGACCTGGTTAGGAAGTGGAAAAAGCAAGCAGGTATTTCCTGAGTCTGCCACCATGTTTGGCCCCATTATCTGAGAGCTGTGTTTCCTTTACACGTGCTAATTCAGTTGTGTTTTCCAATGGGCAAGAAGGAAGAAGCCTTCAGAAAATACATTGAAAAGAAGCAAACATAAATAGCAGTTACAGAGAGTCAGTCCTTGTAAGATACTCAGCAAATGCTTGGAGGAGCTAAGCTTGTGTGTTTTATTTTGAAGCAGCTTTAAAGTTTGTTTGATTCATTTTGGCAAACATTAAAAAGAAATAGCAAAACTGCCTGCAGAGTTAGCAGAAATGAGATCCTGTTGCAAGCAAGCCGTGTTTCCCTGCTATGCAATAGGTTGCCGTAAGAGAAAAAGCTGACAAGTTTGCACTCAATTATGCCAAAAAACCCCACGAAACATAGAGCCACATAACAGCTGATAAATTTTATTCTCAGACATGCTGTATTAACATTGATTCTCACTAAAATTATTAAATGTGTCTAATCTGCTGTTTTACTGTCAACTTGACTGTTTGGATTTTCTTAAGTGCTGAGGTGAAATTGTTGACAAGGGAGTTGCCTTATATCTCTGCAAACATTCATTGTATAAATGAGAAAAATAAACCTTTTCGTATCTCTGGCAGAAATGCATTGATTTATCAACGGAGCTGTATATCTGTGTATAGATAGACAAGAAATGTGAATGCTGACCCACGTCCACTTTGTGCTGTTGTGTTCTGTGTACGGAAGGGAACGGTCATTTGCTTTTGATCCCTCGTTTTCCACACACAGGTTGTTTACAGGTGTTGCCCCAATTCTGTCATTTCACCCTGCGGCTATTTGCATTTATTTAAAATAAACATCAGACGTGAAGTCTTTTGTTGCAGTTTTTCTCTGCCACGGGAACGAGGTGATGCAGCAAGCCGCCTTCCTGCACTGATGCTGACCCCTCGTGGCAAAGGGTTTGCAGAACGTGAGCACGGGGCTCACAGATGGCGGCTTCTGCATCGCGTAGGGGTGGGAAGCACTTCGTCTCTTCCTCCTGGCTCAGGCTCAGGGCTGCAGCCCTGCTAACAGCTTGCAGATTGCTTCTCCTAAAAGCAAGCCAATGGTTTCAAATAGCTTCAAGATCTGGGATTCCCCAGCTTAACAGAAGTACGGATACAGGGGCCTGGCTCCACCAGAAGTTCTGCAGGGCTGGCAGACACCTGACTTAGCAGAGATGGGCGGGAGAATGTAACCCTGAAGAGAATAGAATGGAATATCTCAGTTGGAAGGGACCCACAGGTACCATTGAGTCCAACTGCCTGACCTCTGCAGGGCTGACCAAAAGTTAACGCGTGGCATTGGGAGCATCATCCAAACGCCTCTTGAATGCTGGCAGGCTTGGGGTATCAGCCAGCCCTTGAAGAAGTTTGTTCCTTTATCTGACTTCTCATGGTACAGAAATGTTTCCCAATGCCCGGCCCTGGCGTAGCTCTGTGCCATTCCTCTTCTGCCACCAGTTCCCAGGAAGGAGCAGAGCCCAGCACCTCGCTGTTTCCCCTCCCCAGGGCGCTGCAGGGAGCACTGAGGTCACCTCTCAGACTCTTGTCTCCAGGCTGGAACCCCCCAGTGCCCTCAGCCTCCTCACAGGACGCACCTCCAGCCCTGCTACCAGCTTTGGTGCCTCCTCTGAATGCTTCCAAGAACCTTAACATCCTTTCTGTGTTGTGCAGCCCAGAACTGCAAGCAATATTCAAGACGAGGCTGCACCAAAGCTAAATACAGGGGAGAATCACCTCTCTTGACCTGCTGGCTGTGTTCTGTTTAATGCATCCCAAAATACATTCAGCTCTTGGCTGCACACTGCTGGTTTGTGCTGAGCCTGCTTCAAATAGGTCAGCCCTAGAAAATAGGGCTTTTAACCAGCACAAGGAACATGCGTTACTTTAAGTTGATGCTGAAAGGAAGGAAACTGCATCTGAAGATGGTCTGTGGTAAATGAGTCTGTAAGTTCACCAAGTGCACCATAAACACACCTCAGTTATGAACACAGTAAGTTCAGAGCAGCTCAGTGCAGTCCCCACGCCTTCATTCTTGCTGTTCTGGCCAGTGCCAGTGCAGTTGGTGCTCAGCGATTGCTGAATCAGGATCACATCAGCTAGAAGGACTTCACGTATCACCACCAATCATTGCAATAACCCCACACTGATCTAAATTGTGTAAGTGCAAACCCAGCACAGACAGAAAAGGAAAATCAGGCTATTTACTCTTAATGAGGAGAAAGCTGCTTGGAGAGATCCACCGCCCCCTAGGCTCGTGTGAACAACCTGCTGCCTCTGACTGCTCTGCAGTGCTCTCATGTAGCAACGAGACCCCCGTGCTTGTGACAGTGCTCGTGAATACAGCCACCTTCTGGTTCGCTTTGGGTACCTGCGATGCACCTCGCACTGCATTTGGAATAGCAGAGAACACCGTGCTGGGCGTTGTGTTACACAGACTACGTAAGGATCATCGCTGGGCACCTCGTGATTCCTTCGCTGTGATCAGCAGAATCACAGAATCACAGAATCATAGAATTGTAGGGGTTGGAAGGGACCTCCAGAGATCATCGAGTCCAACCCCCCTGCCAAAGCAGGTTCCTTACACCAGGTCGCACAGGTAGGCATCCAGGCAGGTCTTGAACATCTCCAGAGAAGGAGACTCCACCACCTCCCTGGGCAGCCTGTTCCAGTGCTCCGTCACCTCACTGTAAAGAAGTTCTTGCGCATGTTTGTGCGGAACTTCCTATGCTGCAGTTTCCAGAGACGCGATGAAATAAATGGTAGATGTGATGTCTCACAAGAATGCCAACAGCATTCCAGAGGTGGATGTTTTGCTGGTTTCGTTACACTGCTTGATGTGTATCTTGAATAAAGTCTTAATCTTTTCTTTAAGAAAAATCAAAACAACTTCAGTCTGTTCAATGTATCTGGCAGGCCAGAATCATTCCTTTGATTGCTGTATGATTGTTACTCTCACTTTTGGCTGACTGTATATAGATGTACTCAGTGCTGCATGTCCTTCACAACTTTTCTGTATGATGAACCAGAAAAAATACAGCTGCTGAACACTCTGAGAAACCAGTGAATTCATTGATGCACGGCAGCCTTGTACAGCAAACCATCTCTTACTATTGCAGATGGCTCGGGAGCTGATAAACAGGGACTGCCTAATTAATAATGGGCTCATTTCTAGTGGATGTTTTCAAACTGCTGCTGAAAGCAACTGCTTTTCACATACTTAAGTCACTAATTTTGTGAGAAACCCTCTACCCTAGCCCTCTGAAAGTGAAAGCAGACCAGTTACACTGCAAAAGGACCCTATGATAAATCCTTGGCCTTGTTTCACCTGTGCACGCAAACTGAGATGTACAGCATGTAAAGAACAAGAGAATGTTAAAACTGACTGCTTGAGACCGCATTGCGGCCTTTCAATATTTGAAGAGAGAGTATAAACAGGAGGGGTACAACTGTCTATGAGGGTGGATGGTGATAGGACAAGGGGGAATGGTTTTAAACTGAGGCAGGGGAGGTTTAGGTCAGATATTAGGAGGAAGTTTTTCACACAGAGGTGGTGACGCACTGGAACAGGTTGCCCAAGGAGGCTGTGGATGCCCCATCCCTGCAGGCATCCAAGGCCAGGCTGGATGTGGCTCTGGGCAGCCTGGTCTGCTGGTTGGTGACCCTGCACACAGCAGGGGGTTGGAACTGGATGAGCTTTGTGGTCCTTTTCAACCCAGGCCATTCTGTGATTCTATGATGGTGTGAGGACCCAGCAAATCTACTCCACTACTTAAGAACCAACAAAAGAGACAAAATTGAGTCCTACAAGGAAGGTTCTGTTAAGAAATTTGGCTAATGCCTCTTTAAGAAAGTTAGCAAAGCTGCATGTAACAGTGGGTGCTAACATGGAAACAGGGCAAGAGTTTGCATGGTACAATAACAGGCAGCAACTCTGGAAACTATCTCTCCTTTCTTCCCATGCCTAAGGAAGGTTCCTTGTAGCAAGCTACCAAGAAGCAGAGACAAAGAATATCCTTAAGTTAAACACGTTTCTTTTAACAAAATTCAAGATTAAATATGTTTAATTATTCACTGTCTTTTAGTAATGTTTAGACTGCATTCATCCACAAACATTATGTTAAACAGAATCGTAGGAAACCACCAGACATCTGAACATGCAGGTGACAAGTCTGGCTGTCATCACTGCCAAGTAAAACACAAGTTGCTCCTCAAAGTAGTCTTTACTATTCCTTTATTTTGGGCCATACTTCTGAGCAGATGATATGCATGTGTTCATTTATAAAATAATTACAGATTCCTACAGAGGAAGATTTGTGCGGTCGTGATACTTCTGGTAGGGATCATCAACATACCAATTTCTTCTTTTCCAGAAAGAAGTGGTCATCTTATCCAGGAGTTTACACTGCGTTCTGTTGCACAACACAAACTCTCTCAAGCGCTTCTTCTGGGCAGTAGACTTCTTCCACAATTTCTTCTTGTAACCAGACTGCATAGGAAATACACAGTGAGTTGCTGCCAATACACACATATTGCAATACCCATAAGCAAACTAGCACAAATCCCCCACTTTCAGGAAGTGGAGGAGATGCACACTTCCATACCAGCTCTGTCCATCAGAACAAAAGCAATGAATCATAGAATGGCCTGGGTTGAAAAGGAGCACAATGCTCATCCAGTTCCAACCCCCTGCTATGTGCAGGGTCACCAACCAGCAAGACCAGGCTGCCCAGAGCCACATCCAGCCTGGCCTTGGATGCCTCCAGGGATGGGGCATCCACAGCCTCCTTGGGCAACCTGGCCCAGTGCGTCACCCCCCTCAATGAGCCCACTGTTTTAAATAGGTTTATAATACCAGAACAAAACAAAATCATACCTTTCTCCTAACCCAAAGACCATTGTGCAGTCGGAGAAACCTCTTAACAACAGCTTTCACAGACTTCCTCTTTCCCTTCCGTAGACTACAATAAGTGAGAGGCCTCACGGGCTGCTGAAGTAGGTTTGGAAGTACAGGTGTGAGTCTGAAGACAACAGAAGGAGGAGGTAATACAACAGGAATGTAAATGTGGTTAAATGCTAAACTGCAAACACTCAGCTGTACTGGTATTCAGAAGTTATTTGGAGGATATATCCGGATTTGTTTAGCTTTGAGAAGGGTCTGGGAAACCTCACAGCAGCCTCCCAGTACTTGAAGGGAGCTTACGAGCAGGAGAGGGACCAACTTCTACATGGCGTGACAACGGCAGGTCGGGAGTGAGTAACAAAATAAGGATGAATAATAAAACCTCTCACAGAGGGGAGATTTAGGTTAGATGCCAGGAGGACGTGCCTTGCCCAGAGGGCGGCGATGCCCTGGCACTGCGGTGCTCAAGGCCGGGTCGGATGGGCGGCACGGCCAGTCCCGTACCTGCTGAGCAGCGCGGAACCCCCGCCGGGCACGATGCCGAGGGTCAGCGGTTTCCCCAGCGGAGCCACCGCCGCCCGCGCTCGGCTGTGGCAGCAGTGGACGGACGCGGTTCGTCCCGCAGCGACGGGAGCCCAGCGCGCCAGCGGCCGCAGCATCCCTGCGGAGAGAGACGGCCTTCAGCAGCGCCGAGCGGCCCCGGGCCGCCGCCATTTCACGGGCACCCCCACCTCCGACATGGCCGCCTGCCTGCCTGCCTGCCTCCCTCCCTCCCGCTCCGCTCCGCTCCCCTCCCGTCCCTCACACACAGACCCGCCAGAGCCCCTCGCACCGCCGCTGCCGCCATGTCCCCGCGCCCAGCCTACGGCAGCCGGCGGAGATCAGGCCGGGCCGCGCCAACACACGGCTGCAGAGCGCCGCGTCCCCGCTGGGAGGAGCGCGGCCCCCTCCGGGCGCTTTCTAAAATGGCGGACCGAGCACGTGACCAGCTCGTTCCTTTCTGATTGGGAGCGTCGCCCGTCACTCTCTCGAAGCGGCGGCCACGCCCCCCACGGGAGGGGCGGTCCGCGCATGCGCACCGCGCCCTGCTCGCGGTGAGGGGCGGAGGCGGGAGGCGCTGGGAGTTTCTCGTGAGCGGCGCCTTCCTGCAGCCTGCCCTCGGCCGCCGCCGGTTCCGAGGCGATGCTGCGGGCCTGTCAGCGAGCGGGGGTCGCGGTGGCCGCGCAGGTGAGCGGGGCTGAATGGAGCGGAGCGGGAGGGAGAAGACGCGCGGCCTCCTGGGAGAAGCGCCACCAGTCGGTATGAGTGGCGCCTGCCCTCTGGCTGACGGCGGCAGCGCGCTGCGAGGCACGCGGTTGAGGCGCTGAGGAGCAGCGCGTCCTCCAGCCGTGGCCCCATCTGCTCTGAATGACTCCCCACGCGGTCGCCGCGATTGGCCGCTCGGCTTCTGAGGGACGGCCGCGAGAGCCAATGGGACGCCGCGGCGGGCGGGAGCCGTCAGCTCGCTTCTGGGCTGCACTACGAGTACCGGCGTGCAGCGCGGCCTGATTTGCGTAGGGCGATGGGAAGCGGCTGCCGCGAGGCGTGACGGTCCTCGGAGTCCGCTTGGGTGACCCGGATGGAGCCGGGTGGGCCCGGAGGTGGCGGCGCTCGGCCGGCTGCCGGGCGGCGGGACGGCGGGCCTGCCGGCGGCGGGAAGGACGTGACCTTGCGGGGGGTGGGCGCCTCGCGGCGGTCCCGCATCGAGGCCTGGGCCGGCCGTTGGCTGAGGGAAACCGCCACTGAATGAGGCTGTGGGGCTCCGGCCAAGGACAGCCCGTGCACGCTGAGATCAGGGCCTGTGGAAAGTCTGAGCTGAGAGATGGAAACCAGACTTCCGCTGGTGTTTGTCACATAGAGCTCTGTGCATGCGCGAGAGCGTGTCCAGAACGGCTGCACGGTGCTGGAAATCAGGTGCTGTGCTTTGAATCATAGAATCATAGAACGGCCTGAGCTGAAAAGGACCACAATGCTCATCCAGTTCCAACCCCCTGCTATGTGCAGGGTCACCAACCAGCAGACCAGGCTGCCCAGAGCCACATCCAGCCTGGCCTTGGATGCCTCCAGGGATGGGGCATCCACAGCCTCCTTGGGCAACCTGTTGCAGTGCCTTTGCCCTGTTAAGGTCTGACAGTCTCAGTGCAGCGTTCTGTGTGCGTTGTGTGTTGCTGATGGGCCACTCAGGCACTGTTAGCTTTGCAAGGTTCTGCCTTTCCCCGGGTTTCCTTCCAGTGTTGGTGAAGTTCAGCCCTTTCTCACCTGACCGCTCCCTCAGCCATCACTGAAATCCATCCACTTGCAGCTGTAAGCACAGCAGCTGCTCCTTCTGTCAGTGCATCTGGTGTCACCTTTACGAGTCATGGAATCACAGGATGGTTTGGGTTGGGAAGGACCTTACAGATTGCCCAGAATGCTGGGGGTGCCCTGTCTCTGGAGGTGCTTAAGGCCAGGTTGGTTTGAGCCCTGGGCAGCCTGAGCTGTTATGGGGCAGCCGGAGGGGAGTGGGAGGTTTAGCTTGGACTGAATGAATGCAGAGAATGAGGTTGTGCTCTCTGTGTCGCTGCTTGAGGCTATGCATGAAGCACTTGTGTGTGAGGCAGGGCTTGTTAATTATGTGGATCATCTCTAATTCTGGAGTCCCTGCCGTTCTTCTGTTGGCTGCAGGGAAGGTGTGATGTACCTTGTGGAGTGGTTTTTGTAGCAATGCAATAGCAGGTAATTAATGTAAAACAAGGAGCTTTCCAGGATTTAGGTAAATTAAATAGCACAGGAGTGCTGAGTAGGAGGAAGAAATGGCAGCAGCTGTTCCCAGTGCCCTGTGCAGGGGTCTGTGCTGTCTGCCTGGCTTCTTAGGTCAGATTTATGTCAAGCCACTGCTTAACCGGTCTTTCTGGTAAATCTTCATTTTGAGGTAAAATAGGAGATAAAAATCTTAGGTAATGTTATCTCTGCTAAGTAGAATATGGTAAAATATCACTCCTCACATGGTAATTTCATTTATAATATAATCAGATCTCTGTCTTGAAAGTGGCTGCGTGTTTGAAACATGTCTGTGTCTCGTGAAGGAGCTGCAAGTGTACAAGCAGCTCTGGTTGCTGCCGTAGCTCTCAGACCGAGCCGAGCTGCTGTGCGTTGGCATGAGGAGAGGCTGAGATGTGCTCTGACTGACTTTGCTCTCCTCCACCCCTCACAGAACTGCCGGTGCAGGAGGGCAGCGCTCCGTCCGCCACGACTGAGCTGCGGATATGCGACCACGTCGGGGGAGTCCGGGTGCGTCGGAGGGTTTGGAGGGGTGGAGGTGATGCTTCCATCCCTTGGTCTGTCCCACACCCTTGGGTTGGTGGCCGCCTTCTGGATCACAGTGGGTGTTCCCAGGCGTAGGCTGAAGTTTTAAAATCTGTTGGAGGCTTTCTCGTCATACAGTGGGATTTACGTCATTTTTGCTCTTTCTCCCTTTCTCTCCAGCGGTTCTGTAGGCAAAATCATTGGTGCCAGCGTCTTGTTTGTGGGTGGAGGAATAGGGGGAACCGTCCTGTATGCCAGCTACGACCCGCGTTTCCGGGAGAATGTAGAGAAGGCCATTCCCTACTCTGACAAACTGTTTGAGATGGCGCTCGGTCCTGCGCCTTACAGTGCGCCCATGCCAAAGAAACCGGTAAGCGGCTCCCATTCACCGCCCTCCTGCACACTTCACTTTTCCTTGTTTAGAGAGAGATCTGCTCTTAGTTTTCAAATTCTAATCAGTTTTGCTATGCACTAGGTTTAAGAATTATGAACTGAGCACTTTTGGTTTAGATTGTTACTCTTTGAGATGATACTGAACCACACTGTGGGTCCCTTCCTGTTTCAAACTCATCTCATGAATTACTGATTCCATAGAACCACTGCTGACTGCTGTGTAACAGTGCTGCTTGTACGTTTCCCTTTATAATGGAATGATCATAGAATGGCCTGGGCTGAAAAGGCCCACAGTGATCATCCAGTTCCAACCCCCTGCTATGTGCAGGGTCACCAACCAGCAGACCAGGCTGCCCAGAGCCACATCCAGCCTGGCCTTGAATGCCTCCAGGGATGGGGCATCCACAGCCTCCTTGGGCAACCTGTCCCAGTGCCTCACCAGCCTCTGTGTGAAAAACTTCCTCCTAATATCTGACCTAAACCTCCCCTGCCTCAGTTTAAAACCATTCCCCCTTGTCTTATCACTATCCACCCTTGTAAACAGCCATTTCCCCTCCTGTTTATATGCTCCCTTCAAGTACTGGAAGGCCACAGTGAGGTCTTCCTGGAGCCTTTTCTTCTCTGAGCTAAACAAGCCCAGTTCCCTCAACCTTTGTTTATAGGAGAAATGTTTGGCACGTTTTGAATATGACAGTGTAGCTTTGTATACATACCTTAACTCATTTTTATTTGTAGGAGAAACTGCCACTACTGAATGTTCAGCTTTGCAGAAATAAAAATTATAAGGATGCTCTCTAAATTAAAAATCAAGGTGAAAAATTAGATGGCCTTGCTGTCATTCTCATTTGTACTTTGAAGGCTGGATTTACGATACAGCTGTCTGGATGTGGAAGTATTCTTTGCCATTCAGTGGAGTTGGTGACACACAAAAACTGTTTGGAAAACTGACAGTATTTCTTACTCTTGGTTCTCAAGGTACAACAAGGTCCACTGAAGATCTCATCCGTAGCAGAAGTAATGAAAGAATCCAAACAGCCTGCTCCCAAATCCCAGACAAGCAAAACAGAAGCTGTTGCTCCTTCAGAGGAAAAAGAAGGTAACTTACAGAATGTCACACAGAGAGAAGCAGAAGTGCAAATGTTCTCTTGTTCCATGCATCCCACAGCAGATGAAGATAGGGTTTGGGAATGGTTGCAGATGTGTATGCTGTAGGTTTTTAGAATTAATATTCTTTTTAATCATAAGGAAATTTGCCCAGAAAGGCTTGAGCTGTTTTTGCTTAGTTAAGTTTATGTACCTTAGAATATTTGGAATCTAATATAAATGACTGTGCTCCATAGTTCTACATACAAGGCTCACTTTGGGTGCTGGACTCTTGAGATGTTCTCTCTTTTTCTTAAGCAAGTGTAGTATGGCTTAATTGAGACAATTGTTGAGCTGCTTGTAAAGCCAGATTAAAAGGAACATAGAGCCACAGTTGTCACCTTTGTTCCTTTATCTGTCATGACAGGTGAAGATTTGTGTGTGTGTGTAATTAATGCCGTCTCCTTTTCTGTAAATAATAACATGAAAGCCCAAATAATGTTCCTCCAGAGGAAAAACCCAATATTTATTATTTCCCTGTTCTCACTGTAGTGCATACTAACTGTTTCAGTTCTGTAACTGTCCTTAACAGCAGGCACAGCTGCAGCACAGATCATCTCTGCAACAGGGGTAGCCGTGTCGGTGCCAGCTCCAGGGATACAGACTGAAGAAGGTGAAAAAGACTGCATGAATTCCACACAGAAAATCAAAGTCTTGTCGCTTCAAACGCACCGATTCTTGGTTCTGGGCTGATATTTGTCATTTTTGAGAAGCACTCTTTGTGCCTTTTGTAGATCTTCCATCATTTGTTTATAGATTTTCAGCATGCTGAGCAAGTGAGATTGATGGTGGGGAGAGTTACAGGGATGGATGTGAGGGGAGAGTCTGCCTGTCTGCTGAATGGAAGCTGCACGGCCCAGTTTGCCTCTGCTGTTGGTGGCTTTCTGACCGTGCTTTAGAAGAGCTCTGCAGGGCCAAGTGAAGCACCTTCACTTTACAGTGATGGATACAAAAAAGCTTGAGGTAGTTTTGGTACGGCTTTGTTCGGAAGTCAGATTTATAAAATGATGCTAACTACCAAAGTCAATTTTAAAAAGAAAGTTACTTCCTACAAGTGGTCTGTACAGCAGTTGGGATGGAACAGTTGAATCTGATGCTTAAACAATTTCTC